ATGTAAAATTCTATTTTGATCAAGTGTTTTAAACCTTTCTTATTTTAGTTTTATTATATTTTTTAGGCTAGTCAAGTGAGGCAGTGGGAGTGGACAAGGAACAGACAACGAAATCTATAACTGGTTGTGATAAGTTAGTTGTAAGCACCACTGCACTCAGACCAGCCTTTTTAATTTCACTATTATTTTAAACCTTTGATATTTGACAAACTTCCCAAAATCAAATTTCAAATTTTAAAATTAAGTCTTTTTGACCTCATAACTATTGGACATTCCAAAAATAACCCTCGGAAAGCCCAAGAAAGATATATTAGGCTTATTTGGTATGTAAAAATTATATGTGGAACAATGCCAAATAAGAAATGGCGTTTAGCCGGGCGCGGTGGCTCACGCCTGTAATCCTAGCACTCTGGGAGGCTGAGGCGGGCGGATTGCTCGAGGTCAGGAGTTCGAAACCAGCCTGAGCAAGAGCGAGACCCCGTCTCTACTATAAATAGAAATAAATTAATTGGCCAACTAATATATATATAAAATTAGCCGGGCATGGTGGCGCATGCCTGTAGTCCCAGCTACTTGGGAGGCTGAGGCAGCAGGATTGCTTGAGCCAGGAGTTTGAGGTTGCTGTGAGCTAGGCTGACGCCACGGCACTCACTCTAGCCTGGGCAACAAGCGAGACTCTGTCTGAAAAAAAAAAAAAAAAAAAGAAATGGCGTTTACCTTTCTTTGAGTTGTATTTATATAAGTGTATTATTAATGTGTTCCAAAATTGTATGAGATTCCTAAAATTCTGTTATGTCTTAGTACATTATCAGTCATAATTATGATTATTCTGTTAAATTGTTGTATGTAACAGAAATAACCAAATTTCTTTGTCAATTGCATCTTTAATCATGGCTATTCTAAGTCTTTTGTTATCTATAGGCAATTATTGTTTTACTTTGATTCTTCTCAAAAAACAATAATCAGCTACAGTCCAAAATTTGCTTCTTTTTAAAGGAAATTCATGAAAAGGACCCTGATAAGTACTTTTGAATTCAGGTTGCTTTTTTTCCCCCTCAGGAAATATAAAATTCTGTTTTCTGATAACTTTGAAGATCATACCATTGGACCAGGTAAAAAATTTCAGAACTCTAAAAAAAAAAAAAAAAAAAAAATGATGGGTTCAGGAAGACTGCAAACCCTGCACCAAGCAGACCAAGAATTAACTGGGTGGCGCTGACGTGAGAGAGGACAGAAATGATTTTTTAATGACTTTTTGTTCGAAACATTGATAATTTTTTTCTTCTTTTTGTTTGTCTCTCTCTCTTTTTTTTTTGTTTGATGATTCGTTTTATGTTTTGTTTTCTAGATTCAAGAAAACTTTTTTCTCTTAAGCTATTTATAGCTTACAGCAATTGGGTAAAGTATACTTTTGTGAACGAAATTGAAACATTTACCTTTCTCTCTACCTGATTTATTTTTTGAGTGAGTGCCGTGGCGTCAGCCTAGCTCATAGCAACCTCAAACTCCTGGGCTGAAACAATCCTGCTACCTCAGCCTCCCGAGTAGCTGGGACCACAAGCATGCGCCACCATGCCCGGCTAATTTTTTCTATATATATTAGTTGGCCAATTAATTTCCTTCTATTTATAGTAGAGACGGGGTCTCCCTCTTGCTCAGGCTGGTTTCGAACTCCTGACCTCGAGCAATCCTCCCGCCTTGGCCTCCCAGAGTTCTGGGATCACAGGCGGGAGCACCTGGCATTTTTCCAAGTCTTTTATGTGATTTATTTTCTTCCTTTAACAGTGATGATATGCTATCCCAAACTTTTTCTTAGCTTGCAGACCTGTAAAAACACTTGTCCATCCTGCTCACAGGCAAGGCAAATGCTGCCTCTGGAAAAGGTCCCACCATGGACTCTCTGGTCATCCAACCCATGTTGCCCCTTTGTGTGATTTTATCTTCACTTTATTTCGCAGCCACTTCATTGAATTTCGTTCTAGACCTTAACTTTTCCATGGCTTCCCATGATTTTGCTGTGCTTTGTTCAAAGCATGTGTCTGACCTTTACTGCACCATATGTAGAGAGGCCTAGCCCATCTGCAGTGTACCTCTTGGAATGGGACACAACTGTTGAACCAAATCGATCTAAGAGTTCCATCAGGGCCGGGCGTGGTGGCTCACGCCTGTAATCCTAGCACTCTGGAAGGCCGAGTTGGGAGGATCACTCAAGGTCAGGAGTTCGAAACCAGCCTGAGCAAGAGAGAGAGACCCCATCTCTACTAAAAACCTCTAGTAACCTGTCTTGTCACAGTAATCTAACTTACCATCATAACCTGGTTTGGGCCATGCTCTGAGCCCGAGAAAGGCTCTGTGGGTCCCTTTCTGTAACTTCAAGATGGTATGTAAGCTTCTGAACCCCTTTAAGGGGTTGGAGTAATCCCTCTGTTGTCCTCCCTGTACACGTCAATAAATTCCTATGCCTTTTTCTCTTATTCATCTGCCTCTTGTCGGTTGATTTTCAGTGAACCTTCAGGGGGTGAAGAGGAAGTTTTCCCTTGGCCCCTACAGTTTCCAGTTTGTTGAACTGTCAAGTAGAAATGACAAATGCACTTCTTGGTGTAAGAGAGGGCACCCCAGAGCGGGGAGAGGTGGTCATTTTACTGGATGTAGCCAAACACCCTGAGGTCAACGCAGTAACTGGCCCACCCGGGGCATTTCCCCCTCCAGCAGCCCCTGCCCTGGACAACCCCTCTAGCTCAGGTCTCCCCCAAAGTATCTCTTGCAGGGTGGCTCCCCCTCTAGGGCCTCGGGTTCCCTCACAAGCTCAGGGCACCCCTCTGGGATACCTGCTCCCAGGAAGAGCAGGACCTGGGCTCCCTAAGGGGGCGGGTGTCCCCTGGTCACGGACCCTGGAGCCAGTGGGAAGGCGGACAGGGCTCCGGAAGGGCCTCTGGGGCCATGGTGTGCAGCCAGGACTCGACCCCCACTGAGGCCCAGCTCTGGCTGGGGAGCTGGCACTTTCCCTATGAAACAGGAAAGCTCCAAGACAAGGGGCCATCTGGGAGCAAAGTGGGAAGGGCAGGGACTCCAAGGGGTGGGGTGGGGTAGGGCTGAGCCCAGGCGGAGCTGACCTGCAGGCAGCGGGAGGGGCTGGCCCCCCCATGTCACATTCCGACTGCCTGTGCATGGGGGCGGGGGCTGCCAGCGCTTCAGGCTGAGCCAGGACAGAAAGCTTTTCTGTGGCCCAGAAATCTTTGAATCTGTAATTGGAGCTATCACAGCTGGTTGGCGCTGTGAATTGGAGTTTAAAAGGAATCAACCAAAAAAGCATTTTCTTCTCTTTCAAGTACAAGCTGGAAACTACCCCAGGACCTGCCCATTATTCCCAAGAAGAGCCTGGGGTTATAATGTTCTGCAGATGGTGGCACTTTCCCCCTGGGTTCTGCCCCCCATCCCTGTGTATGCCCACGTGACAGCTGCATGGGCCCAGCCCTGACCTCGGGCCTGGAGGAGGGGATGGTGTGCTGCCAGCTATGTTTGTTCAAAGGCAAGCTCTGCAGGCTGTCCTCGCTTTTGGAAATGTGAGTTCTTTTTCTGCATTGACAGAGCCCCAGTTGGAGAGAGCATGCTGGGGTTTGGGAAGTGGCTCTGGATGCCTGGGGCTTTGCTAATTTGGGACGAATGCCCACAGTCAGCCTTGCAGTGAGGGGCACCAGTCTTGTCTCTCTGCACCTTGGACAGGTCGGGGGAAGAGGGCTCCACGTGGGCAGGGCAGGGTGGTTGAGCTGCTTTGATGGGCCCACGTGGCCCACGTGGAGGAATTCTGCAGCAGTTCATGGGGGGGACCCAGGACACCCGAAGCCCCTACCCAAGCTGCATCTCCTCCCCCCTCAGCCACCCTGAGGATGGTCCCAGTTCCAGAAGGGCTTTGCGGGTCCCAGCTAAGGGGTGCTTGCCCTCACCAGAGTGGCAGGTACTGACGGGGGGCGGAGAGGTGCTCATGGAACCCACTGGAATGGAGAGGGAGGCAGGAGGGTCCCGGAAAGGGGGTGCAGTTCTGAGCAGAGGTTCTGCCCAGGAGCACTGTGCCTGGCATGAGGTGGCTGCTGTGTGGCACTTAAAGATTCTCTGCTTGACCAGACTAGAGTCCTGAGCCTTCTCCTAGGCCCCTCTGCACGCGTGCTTGTAAAATCCTGTTTTAGCAAGAAGCCCCCACCTTGATATCCAACCATCCTCGATGTCAGGCTTCTCGCCCTCTAGAACTCCCAGCTGAGGTCTGGTCACCTGCCCGTCCTCAGTAACATCCTGTTAGGTCTCCTTGACCCCTGATGTCTCCTCTTAGTGATTTTCCATCCCCTGACCCCACCCTGCTCCTTGGCTATAAATTCCCACTTGCCTGTGCCGTATTCAGAGTTGAGTCCAGTCTCTCTCCCACTGCAAAACCCCATCGCGGTGGTCTCTGCACCTATCGCCATGGTCCCGAATAAAGGCTGCCCCTTACTGAGCTTTAACAATCGTCATCGAGTCACTTTTTCTTTAACACATGTCCCTTGGCCCTCTGTCCCTGTGACTGCAGGCATCCTCCAGCCCCAGGCCTCTGAGCTTGCTGTTGCCTACCTGGAATCTTGACCCCTCTCGGCCTGGCTCACTCCCTCCACTCCTGCAGGGCCACTGGAATGCGGCTGTCTCAGTGAGGCCGTCCCTGGCCCCCAGGCTGTCTCTCCCACCCTTTGCCCCGTGTGAGCTGCTGCTCCTTGGCTCCCAGATGGGCTGAGGTGGGCGGGTTACCATGGACCCTCTCCAGGCCTTGATTTCTGTCAATGGCAAAGAACCCAAAGTCTGTAAAATAATTTAGAGACGTTTATTCTGAGTTGAATATGTGAGGCCACAGCCTGGAGCCACGCCCAGGAAGCAAGTGGCCTCACCGTGATTGGGACACAGTGTGGTCTGTACATTTCAGGGAGACGGGAATTACATGTAAAGTCATCAATCAATACACGGAAGGCGGACATTGGTTTGGCCTAAAAAGGCAGGACATCTCCAAGCGGGGATTATAGGTGGGTTTAAAGATTTTTTTGATTTGTAGTTGGTTAAAGAAATGAAGCTTTGTCTAAAGGATTGGAATGTTTTAAGTTAAGACAAGGGGAAGTCTGTTAGTCAGAGACAAGCCACCGGACATAGACTCAGGTTCCAGAGATCTGTTAAGGAAATTGAGGACCTGCAGGTGGGGTTTAAGCTGCTTCTTGCAAAGCCTCGGGCCTGGTGCTGAGTTACGAGGACATCTCCAAGATGGGATGGGGGCATGATGAAGCTGTCTGACCTCCCTTCTCAGGGCCAGCAGCTCAGCTTTAGGGTATTCCTGGGGTCCCCTCAGCCAAGAGGGGGTCCATTCAGTCAGCTGGGGGGGGGCTTCAGATTTTATTTTAGTTCACGTTTCCCACCCATAGATGGAGGATGGCGTTGGTCCCCACCTCATTGTGTTGGTGGGAGGCGTAAGTGAACTAACAGGGGCAAGTCGCTGAGCATGACGTGTGGCCAGCCTGTGCTGTTAGTACTACATAGTCGTTATGTGGGTGCCGTGCCTGGGGATGCTGGGGGGGCCTTCCGGAGGAGGGGGCGTTTGCTCGGAGCCCTGAGGCCTGACAGAGATTCTGAGTGAGAACAGGTGGAAAGGTGAGGAGACTGCACAGGGCTGCTGAGATGGCTCCTCAGGTGAGTTGCGAGCAGGGCTCAGGTTTTGCGACCGTCTCACATGCAAGGGGAAGGTCCTGAGACGCCGCCTCAAAGATGCGCTTGGAGAAGGAAGGGGAATCGCTGTCAGACTAGACACAGAAATAACCTCTGCTTACGGATCACCTGGCCCACGAGTGACAGTGGACCTGGCAGGGGACTAGTTCCCCAAAACAAGTCCTGCCATCAGCTCACAAAATTATAGAAAATTGAGTGAAGACGTTATCAGAAATGCTAATTTCTTCCCAGGAGGAAGTTCTGCCCTGCCCAGCTTCTTTTCCAGTGTTCGAGGAATGAGATGGGGCTCGGAAGGAGGCTCTTCTCAAGCAGATCTAGGCCCCGAGGTGGCCGCAGAGAGCAGCCCCCAGACCTGGTGTCTGTGGCAGCCGGGACCCCCCAAGGCGGAGCCCAGTGTGGGTCTGGCCCTGGCAGGCAGAGAGGCAGCTGCCATCACGTGGCCCACGGGTTGGAAGAACGGGAGGGCTGTGGGGTGAACCTATGGTCCGGTTTTCCAGGGCAGGGCAGGGGCAGTTTAAATAGACCCAGGGCCGGGCGTGGTGGCTCACGCCTGTAATCCTAGCACTCTGGGAGGCCGAGGCGGGTTGGATCACTCAAGGTCAGGAGTTCGAAACCAGCCTGAGCAAGAGAGAGACCCCATCTCTACTAAAAATAGAAATAAATTAATTAGACAACTAAAAATATATAGAAAAAATTAGCCAGGCATGGTGGCGCATGCCTGTAGTCCCAGCTACTCAGGAGGCTGAGGCAGGAGGATGGCTTGAGCCCAGGAGTTTGAGGTTGCTGTGAGCTAGGCTGACGGCACAGCACTCTGGCCAGGGCAACAGAGTGAGACTCTGTCTCAAAAAAAAAAAAAAAAAAAAAGAATAAAAAAAAATAAAGTAGACCCAGGAAGAGAAGTTTGAGACACTGAAGCAATCGCGCCTTTGTGCAAATCTCATTCAGCAAAGTCCAGAGGAGTGGATATTGGAGGAAGATGGTCCTAAATCAAGGCAGAACTGACACGGTGACCACAGGCCCTGGATGAGGGCTGGTGGGCTGGTGGGATTGCTGGGAGAGGGCTGTCTGTGCCCGGTAGCTGAACAGGGCTCATGAGGCCCATAGGGATGAAGGTGACCTACTGGAAACTCCTGGGTTTAACGGAGACGAAGGCACCTCAGGACAGAGGGAGGCAGGAATGTACTGTGCTCCACCCACTCAGCTGTCCCTCCTTGTCCTGCGAGAGGGCCTGCAGGACACCCCTCACCAAGACACTAAGGGGTATATTGTGGAGTGGGGAGGGGGTGATAGCCCCCAGGAGAGGCTCTCGAGAGGCCGGCTGCTGTGGCGGAGGGGAGAAGGGGCAATGCTGCCGCCGAGAAACCAAGTGAACAGATCAGGGGTGGCAGAGGCCATGTGGCTGGCCAGGCAGGTGGGGGCACCAGGATGGGCACGCCGAGTGGCGTGGCCCCGGAGAACCTTGGCTCATTTCCCACGGGGTCACCCTCTAGGACACAAGCAGAGGGCAGCACGGGGGTGAAGGGGTGCACTTGGTGGAAAACCCTGGGTCTCAGGAATATGGCCTGGACTTGGTCACAATGCAGAGGAGTTGAAATTCCTCTTGCAATTCCTGGATATGAGTCATTCGCAGACCTGGAGCCCTCTGCTGGATCCGGCGGAAACACCCAAGGCTGTGCTGTGAAGACAGCCTCCCGGGGAGGGAGGTGCAGCCTCTGGCCAGGATGGCCGTGCTCTGGGGGAAGGGACACCCCAGGCTTCCAGGGACTGCCGGGCACTGGCTCTGAGTGTCACTCGGATGTCACTTCCCAGACACTCTGATGCCTCCGTCGCTCAGCAGTCAGAGGGGGGCCTTGGATGGCGGGTGAGGCATGTGTTTGGGTTACAGCTCCTCTCACAGCGGACACAGGAGGTATGTGTGGGTCTGTCTTATGTTAATTTCCCCAGTTCTCAAGCATATGATTTCATGTGAATAGATATTCTGAGCATCTGGCTGGTGCACACACTGTCTGCTGACTCAGGCGAGGGCTCTCGAGGTGGGAAGCCTGGCACAGGCTCCTGGAGCTGCCCTCCTTATCAAGCGAGGAAAGACCACTACTCTGACATGCAAGCCCCAAATTTCAGCGCATTAATATAACAGATGTCTATTTCTTTTCTTTCTTTTTTCTTTTTGAGACAGAGTCTCACCCTGTTGCCCCCAGCTAGAGTGCCATGGCATCAGCCTAGCTCACAGCAACCTCAAACTCTTGGGCCCAAGCAATTCTTCTGCCTCAGTCTCCCAAACAGCTGGGACCACAGGCATACGCCACCATGCCCGGCTAATATTTTCTATATTTTTAGTTGGCCAATTAATTTCTTTCTATTTTTTTTTAGTAGAGACGAGGTCTCGCTCTTGCTCAGGGTGGTTTTGAACTCCTGACCTTGACCGATCCTCCCGCCTCGGCCTCCCAGAGTGCTAGCATTACAGGCGTGAGCCACGGTGCCTGGCCCAGATATCTCCTATTTCTTGCTAACAGAAAGTCCAGCTGGCTACGTGGGTGAGGGTGGAGGGGTTCTCTGCTCCACATAGTAATTTAGGGACCCAAGCTAAAGGAACCACTGCCATTTTCTATGTTGGTTGTAGGGCATCCTGGAGGTCCACAGCCGGCCAGCAGGAGGCTGAAGAAAGAGCACGCAGGACTGAGCAGGGCATTTTTATGGGCAGGGCTAGGAGTGGCACACATCATTTCTGCCCAAAGTGATTCCAGAACTCGGTGACTTGACTGCAACTAGATGCACAAGTGGTTTGGGGAAATAGAGGCGTTGGCTGGAGACGTGGTCTGTCTGGGAGACGTGGTCTGTCTGGAGCCAGCAGTTGGAGGCATCAGCTTTCTGACTCCTCAGTTCTCTGACTGTGGCAAAGAGAGTAACTCCCAGGGCACTAGCTCTACGATGTCGATTCAGGGAGGTTGTATTTCTAGAAGCTCATTTGGGCATTTCTCTTTTAGTCCTTCCAGTGATTTTGTAGGTACCAATTCACTGCATTAAATCTCTTTCTCGTCAACCTAGCCACACGTGGGTCTGTAATCTGCATCTGGACCCAGGCCTTTACAGCTGGTGAGACATCAAGGAGGCCATGGTGTGAGAGATCACGCGGAGGGACGTGGATGACGTCAGGACTTGGGGTGAGCATGCAACCTGTGATCCCCATGCCCAAATCCTCAGTGAATGACAGGATGTGGCTGACCAAGTGGGATCCATTGGATCACTGCTACGTCCCCAGTGTCTCTACTTTAGGGGTGGCTGTGTGTATATAATAAATGTTTTCAAATGCTGAATGCTATTCTGTTCATTTATGCATTCATTTATTGTGTAGCCAGCAAAAAATCATTAAGCATTTACATGTGCTGAGTGCTGTGGCTGAATAAGAAAAGCAGATTTCCAACAATATAATCTAAAACCCATCTATTGCAAAACACCTGGAAATGCTGATTAAAATATAATAAGCATTCTTTTATATGCCTAGCTGAACTTGGAAAAAAAAATAAGGGATATCCCCAGAGACACAAAATGAAGAGGAAACTGAAACCAACATGGTAAATGTGCATGAAATCTGGGGCGTTCTCAATACCGGGAACTCAAAGCCTGGGCTTCAAGGCTGCGTACCAGGCGAGAGACAAGGACTTAGGCCCCTGCAGTGTAAGAAGCTGGAAATGAGATTCCCACATAAAATCAGGACTTTTGAAGATCCACAGTCTCAGTAAGAGGCTAGAAAGATTAGGAAAAAAACCTATTCTCCACGAAAGAGAAATGAAAGATTTTGTAATGACTTTACCACCAGATAGAAATCAAATCTCCTCTGAGAATTTATACATATACATTTATCTTCACACGGGTGTAGGGCTTAAATACCAATTCCCTGGGGGGGCTTAGAATGGAGCTGAAGTGGATGTAGGTTGGCAACACTGGGGCACCTGGAGGAGTGAACGCAAATCCCCTCCGGGGGAGCAACTGCCCACTCCTCCAGGTCCCCACGGATCATGGTCAGCCACACATGAGATCACAACCTAAAGTCACGAAACATGTGAGTACGCTTAAAACGTTCACAGAGATAAAAGATGCAATTATTATAAAATGAACAAGGAATGAGAAGCTATCAGAAAAGATAAGAAAAAAAGAAAAGAAAGAATTTGATCAATTTGGCTGGGCACGGTGGCTCACACCTGTAATCACTCTGGGAGGCTGAGGCCAGCAGATTGCTCGAGGTCAGGAGTTCGAAACCAGCCTGAGCAAGAGCAATACCCCGTCTCTACTATAAAATAGAAAGAAATTAATTGGCCAACTAATATATATAGAAAAAATTAGCCGGGCATGGTGGCGCATGCCTGTAGTCCCAGCTACTTGGGAGGCTGAGGCAGGAGGATCGCTTGAGCCCAAGAGTCTGAGGTTGCTGTGAACTAGGCTGACGCCACAGCACTCACTCTAGCCTGGGCAACAGAGTGAGACTCTGTCTCAAAAAAAAAACAAACCAAGAATCAGATGGATTTGAAAAGGAATAAACTATAATGTTAAAAAATAAAAAATAATTGACTTTTTCTTTTTTTTGAGATGGGGGTCGCACTCATGCCCAGGCTGGAAGTGCACTGCCTTGATCATAGCTCACTGTAGCCTCAAACTCCTAGGCTCAAGTGATCCTCCCACCTCAGCCTCCACAGTAGCTAGCATTGCAGCTACTTTTCTTTTCCTCTTCTGAAAAGATTTTTTTCATCAATCTCATTCTTAAATGAATGAGAACTATAGTTCTGAGTTAAAGGTTATTCTTAACCCTCTCTCTTAACTGTCGCTGTTGCTCTCAGTCTAATTATTCCTTTGGGAGACATTTATCTTTTCTTTTTGACTGATTTTTTAAAATTGAAAAATGAAAATTGTATATATTTATCATGTACAACATGTTTTAAAATATCAGGCTGGGTGTGGTGGCTCATGCCTGCCAAAGCAAGAGGATCACTTGAGGCCAGGAGTTCAAGACCAACCTGGACAACATAGCGAGACCTTGTCTCTAAAAAAAAAAAAAAAAAAACAAGTGTTCACTTTGTGCAATGGCTAAATTGAGCTAATCAACATATGCATTACTTCACATACTTTTTTTGTGGTGAGAACACTTAAAATCTACTCTCTTAGCAATTTTTAAGTATACATGTTTATGGACTAGTCAACCATGATGTATAATAGAGCTCTTGAACTTATTTCTTTTATCTAACTGAAATTTTGACTTCTTTGACCAATCTCTGCCCCTCCGCTCCCAGCCCCTGGTAAATACCATTTTATTCTCTACTTCTATGAGTTCGACTTTTTTAGATTCCACATATATGTGAGATCATGTGGTATCTGTCTTTATGTGCATGGCTTATTTCACTTAACAATATGTTCCTCAGGTTCACCTGTGTTGTCAAACATAACAGGATTTCCTTCTTTTTAAAGTTTGCATAGTATATTCCATGGTGCATTTATACCACATTTTATTTATCCATTCATCTATTGATGGACACCTAGGTTGATTCCATATTTTGGCTATTGTAAATAATGAATGACTGAGATTTCAATGGGCAGATTAAATAGCAGATTAGACACAATAAAAGAATTACTGACCTAGAAGATGAGACTGAAGAAATGACCTAGAATACAGAGTAGACAGATTAGATGAGCAGAAATTTTAAATCTTTTTTAAAGTTCACACTTTAAAACTTAATTAAGTATATTCAGAATGTTGTGGAACCATTGTCACTTTCCACTTCCAGAACTTTTTCATAATCCCAAACACAAACTCTGTACCCATTAAATAGTAATGACATATTATTCTCTCCTTCCATCTCTTGCTAACCGCTATTCTGCTTTCTGCCCTGTGAATTTGCCTACCCTCCCAGAGTGCTAGGATTACAGGCATGAGCCACTGCGCCCAGCCTAATTTGTTTTGATGGCAACAACAGAACCCAGATGACAAGAGAACAGTAAATTAAAAATGTGGAGTGAATCCTAGCACTCTGGGAGGCCGAGGCGGGAGGATTGCTTGAGCTCAGGAGTTCGAGACCAGCCTGAGCAAGAGCAAGACCCCGTCTTTACTATAAATAGAAAGAAAACTAGCCAAACAACTAAAAATAGAAAAAATTAGCCGGGCATGGTTGTGCTGCCTGTAGTCCCAGCTACTTGGGAGGCTGAGGCAGGAGGATTGCTTGAGCCCAGGAGTTTGAGGTTGCTGTGAGCTAGGCCGATGTCACAGCACTCACTCTAGCCCCGGCAAGGGAGTAAGACTCTGTCTCAAAAAAAAAAAAAAAAAAAAAAAAAAAAAAAAAGTGATTATGATTGAATGTTTATACTGAAGATAGAATAGCCTTTTACACTTATATTTAATTTTAGTGAACATTATAATGAACAATTTATTTCAAAAAGAATAAATTATATGTATTCTACAGCATTTCTACACTAATTGTGACTATTTTCTAAAGCAATACCATTGTATTTTTTCAAAACGTCACTTCTATTTCCTCTAAAATGTTTCTTCTTCAAAAGCAAGACCCTGCCCAGGTGTAGTGGCTCCCGCCTGTAATCCTAGCACTCTGGGAGGCCGAGGCGGGAGGATTGCTTGAGCCCAGGAGTTTGAGGTTGCTGTGAGCTAGGCCGATGTCACAGCACTCACTCTAGCCCCGGCAAGGGAGTAAGACTCTGTCTCAAAAAAAAAAAAAAAATGTGGAGTGTAAATAATTGTTAATCTAGAATTGTATGCCCAGTGTTGCAGATTGCTAGCTGCCTATTCTAATGTGCAATCTGCCTTCTTCCTTGTTAAAAAATGCTGGATTTTATAGGGGCAGTATGCACCCAACTAAGAAAGAACTAAATTTCCTAGCCCCCATTGTGGCCACAGCCAGTTTGGCTAGTAACATGTAAACAGAGGCATTGGGTAAGTTTTCCAAAATATTCCTTAAGAGGGTCAGACATGCACTCATGATGAAAAGAATCTCTGAAGACTAGGACTAGAGGAGAACTTTCTAAATCTGATAATGGCAATCTACAAAAACCCTTTGGATATCATACTGTACTTAATGGTGAAATATCAAACATTTCCCACTATGATTGAGAGCAAAGCAAGAGTGCTTGCTCTTACCCCTTCTATACAACACCATATGATGATCCTAGCTGTTGCAATAAGGCAAGTAAAAGAAATAAAAGATAGAAAAATTCAAAAGGTGGAAGTTAAATTGTCTTCATTTGGCAATGACTTGGTTATTTATGTAGAAAATCCTAAGAAATATATAAGAAAGCTATTAGAACTAAACAAATTTAACAAGGTCACAGGCTAAAATTGTTATATACAAAAATCAATTGTATTTTCCTATACTATCAACAAACAATTAGACAATTAAAAATAAAAATAAATGAAATTAAAAATTTTATTTGCAATATATGAAATAACGCAATTCTTACAAATAAATTTAGCAAAAATGTGTAAGAACGCTACACTGAAAACTACTAAGCCTTGCTGAGATAAATTAAAGAAAACCAAAATAAATGAGGGAATATACCATGTTTATATATTGGGAAATTCAATATTGTTAAGATGTCCATTCTTTCAAAATACTTACAGATTCAATGCAATACCAGTGAAATTCCCAGTAGGCTCTTTTCTGGGGTAGAAATTGACAAGCTGATTCTCAAATTTATATAGAAATGAAAATGACCTAGAATAGCCAACAAAATTTAAAAAGAACAGTTATAGGACTCATACTATCTGATTTCAAGACTTGCTTTAAAGATACAGAAATTAAACAGTGTGTGTGTATATATATAGACACTGAAAAAAGTATATAGATATAGATCAAAGGAAAGTAATAGAGAGTCCAGAAATAGACCCATGTCAGCTGGTTTTCAACAGAGGTGCAAAGGCAATTCAGTGACATGTCTTTTAAAAAATGGTGCTGTGAGGTCCCTAAAAGAGTGAAATACCTAGAGGTAGAGAGTAGAACTGTGGTTACAAGTGGCTGAGGGGAACAGAAATGGGGGAATTATTGTTCAGTGGGTAGATGAGATGATGAAAAAGTTCTGGATATGTACAGTGGTAAGTGGTGATGGTTGCATGACAATGTGAATATACTAAATGCCACTGAATCACACACTGAAAAATGGTTAAAATGGCCAGTGGCTCAAGCCTGTAATCTCTGCACTTTGGGAGGCCAAGGTGGGAAGATTGCTTGAGGCCAGGAGATTGAGGCTACAGTGAGCTGTGATCATGCCACTCCACTCCAGCCTAGGCAACAGAGTGAGACCTTGTCTTTTAAAAAAATAAAAATAAATGGTTCAAAAATTTTTAAGTTAGGTATACTGTATCATGATAAAAATATTTTTAAAAATTAAAAAAATGGTTCTGGAACAACTGGACATCCAAAGGGAAAAATATAAACATCAACATTTTCTTGGCTGGGTGCAGTGGCTCACGCCTGTAATCCTAGCACTCTGGGAGGCCGAGGTGGGCTGATTGCTCGAGGTCAGGAGTTCGAAACCAGCCTGAGCAGGAGCGAGACCCCATCTCTACTATAAATAGAAAGAAATTAATTGGCCAACTAATATATATATATATATATAAAAAAATTAGCCGGGCATAGTGGCGCATGCCTGTAGTCCCAGGGGAGGCTGAGGCAGCAGGATTGCTTGAGCCCAGGAGTCTGAGGTTGCTGTGAGCTAGGCTGACGCCACGGCACTCACTCTAGCCTGGACAACAAAGCGAGACTCTGTTTCAAAAAAAAAACAAACAAAAAAAAAAACACCAAACAAACAAAAAAAACATTTTCTTGACACCAAAATCAAAAATTAACTGGAAATTGATCATAAATCTACACATAAAAGCTAAAACTATAAAACCCAGGAAAAATTTTTATCTTGTGGGAGGCAAAGATTTCTTAGAACTAAAAGAATATCAACAATAAAAAAAAGAGAAGTTGAATTCTATAATAGTGAAAAATTTTTGTTCTTTGACACTATTGCAAAAGTAAAAAGGCAAGCCAAAAAATTAGAGAACTTTTGCCATATATTTATCTTACAAAAAACTTGCATCTGGCATATATAAAGAGCTCCTAAATTTTAATAAGCCAATTTTCCCAGTTTTTAAGAAACGGGTGACAGACTACAGCAGTCACTTCAGAAAAGAAGATTTGTGAATGTCCATTAAGTACCTGAACAGAAGCTCAATATCATTAGTCATGGGGAAATGCAAATTTAAACCCACAATGAACTAGCACTACACATCCATGAAAATGGCTAAAATTAAAAAGACTGACAATACCAAACGTTGACAAAGATGTGGAGGAAACGGAAAAAGTTGGAATGTAAAATGGTGCTACCACACTCTGCAAAACTGCTTGCCAATTTCTTAAAAAGTCAAGCCTACATCCAACGTAAGGCAGAGTCATTCTATTCCTGTCTCAGTCTGTTGCCCGAGCGCTGAGTGGCTGTGGCTCAGCCTAGCTCACGGCAAACCTCAACACTTCCTGGCTCAAGTGATCTCTCCGCCTCAGCGTCCAAGTAGCTGGACTACAGGCATGCCCACCATGGCCGGACGTTTGATATCCTTATATTTTAGTTGACCAATTTCTTTCTTTTGTTAGGTAGAGACGGTTGAGCGGTCTCCGCTCTTTGCTCAGGCTGGTTTTCGACGAATCCGACCTTGAGCGATCCGCCCGCCCTCAGACCTCCCACGAAGATGAGCGGTAGATACGCGCGTGCACCGACTTTCTTTTTTTTAAGCTAAGCCCCGGCCTTTGAAGTGGCCCATATCCAACTTGCACTCTGGCCTAGGGCGGTCTTTTTTTTTTCTAAGGCTTTTTTCCCACCCCCTGTTCTTAGAGGGAGTTCTGGTCCCCTGCAGGCTTGGAGTGAGCCCAGCCCCACTCCACCCAGGAAGGGGTCCAGCCATGCCGGAGACCACTCGCGTCCCAGCGCTCTGGCGTCCTTCCAGGCTGCACAGGCGGACTGACGGGCACTCTTCTCCCCAGAAATATTCCTCTACCGTTGCCGCTTCCCAGTCACAGGCCTTCCCCCCATCCCGTCTTCCAACTCGGAGGTCTGGATTATGATAATACTTAAAAATATACGTAGTTCTTTTCTTTTCTTTTTCTTTTTTTTCTTTGAGACAGGAGTCTCACTCTGGTGGTGGCCTGGCCTAGAGTGCCGGTGGGCATCAGCTACGCTCACGGCACCTCAACTCCTGGCTCAGGATTCTCCTGCCCTCAGCCTTGCCAGTAGCCTCGGGCTACACATCCCAGCTAATTTTTCTGTATATTTCGTTCTGTTCTGCTAACTTCTTTCTTTTTCTTTAGGTAGAGACGGGGGTCTCTGCTGCTTGCCTCAGGCTGCGTCTTGAGACTTCCCACCTCGAGCACCTCTCCCCTGGCCCTCCCAGAGTGCTAGGATTACCGTGCGGGAACCACTGGCCTGGCCTGTATTTCTCCTTTGTTATGGTTCCTTCAAGGCTGAAGCCTGGTCACAGCATCTGAGTTCACAACCTCTCCATGGTTACCCCATGGATGTGGAAAAAGCATCTTTCCCTCCGATTTGCTGTTAGAGGTGCAATCCCAGGACAGGAATTTCACTGGCCCTGCTTGGATCACATGCCCCCTGGTTTCTCATGACTAGCCGTGTGCGCATTTTTAGGCGAAGGTCAGTTACTTAAAAGAAGTGAAATGAGGGCTTCTCCTTTCCCCTCCCGGCCCCCCTGCCCCGAGAAAAAAATAACAACAAGCAATCAAAAAGAAGTTAAGGAAGGCAGTACAGTGGCCCTTGCTGCGTTGCTCTGCTGGATTTTTGGTGGAGCTGAATGAGTTTAATCACGGACTCATTTAGAATGGCATGTAAGTGCTCAAAAACCTTAGTGAGAAACCTATTTTCATGATTCTTATTGCATGTTTTTTTTCTTTCTAATTTTTTTTTTTTGAGACAGGTTCTCACTTGTGCCTAGGGGCTTAGGTGAGTGGCGTTGGCCGCGTCAGCCTAGCTCACAGCAACCTCAGACTCCTGGGCGCCTCAGCCGATCCTTCTGTTCTCAGCCCTCCCAAGCTAGCTGGGAACTAACAGGCCATGCGCCACCATGGCCCCGGCTATTTTTTCCCTATAATACTTAGTTGGCCCAATTAGTTTTCTTTCGGTATTTTATAGGTAGAAGACGGTCGTCTCGCTCTTGCTCAGGCCTGCTGCATTTCGTGCCCCTTGCGCACGTCTGGCGGGCCCGCTGTTTGAAACTCCCGACCTCGCAGCAATCCGCCCGCCTCGGCCTCCCAGGAGTGCTAGGCGGGGGGCATTTACAGGCGTGGAGCCACCGCGCCCGGCCTGCATGTTTCTTTTTTTATTTAAGAAATTTTCATAAAGCTTTGAGGTGATCTTCTTGTGATAACGTTTCTCTGTAAAACCATCATCATTGCCAGTTTTGGAGTTTGAATTATATCCTCCTTAGTGGCCCCCAGGGCCACAAGGCCAAGACATTAGCATAAAAGAGTCCTGTGTGCTGGTGCTCTTCTGAAGGGACACATCTCGGTTTGTGGGACTCCCACAAATCCAGGCCCAACGTGACTTCATCACCCCAGATCACAAAATTCTCACAGAAACAACCCACCATGAGTAAGAGTCAGTGTATCACACAGAAAGCAGAACTGGACTACCAAAAAGTTCATATAATGAAACTATGGCTGAAAGTTTAAAAGCAG